AAAAATTCAACAGTAATTGTTTCGTTGTACATTTTTTTTTCATTTTTTGTGTGTTTCATAACTTTTCAGGAAGAAATGATAACTTCCGCTGGAAATCTTCATTAACTTCATTAATGAAATCCATCGATGGAATAAGCTCTGTGCTTAGCAACTTTTCTTTACTCCTTCTCAGATGGGGGCTGCAGTCAGTAAGAACCACAAACAAAAAAACATTTTATTTTGTGCCGACATACCGGCCTAAGTTTTAGGCCTTCGCCAGGGTCCCTTCATCTCTTGGGCACGACTACGAAACGTTGTGTTGCTACAAAATAAAATACAATTTTTTGAATTTTTATTTGTAATTCTCACTGAAAGCAAGCCCCGACAAATATTTCAACCATATTATCTCCAATTAAATATTTCTCTACTATTAATAAATATATAAATGAGTTTAGCATAGTTTCTAAGAATGTAAAACTGACATTTAGTAAAAGGAAAGATTAAAAACATTATTTTTCTTTTTATTATTTAATTCACTTTGAGTGTTAATAGGTAGTTAACATTATATTTTAATACCACTGTTCTAAACCAATAAACTTATGAAGTAACAGAAATAACTTACTATCCTGTAATAACCAATGGTTCAATATTATTGCTAATTGAAAAGAGAGTTGTTCGGCCGTGAAAGCAATGGAGGGTCGCTAAAGGTTAGAATTCATCAGATCTTTAAGATTTTATCATGAATAGGGTCTTAAGGCAAACCAGAGTCTTAATTAGTTATTTCCTTTGCCCTTTACCTATCGCTCTAAGGTCCAAAGTCCCACGAAAAGGGATTTCCATCCTGTCGTCTAATTGGATCACGGTCTCTAAATTATTCATAATTATACTTTGGAAAGAAAAATTACTTTCTCTTTTTTCTTTCTGCATCATCAAACGCAAAAATATTAGGGAAGAACCGTCGTTCTGAAATAAATCCATTCCAATCCAGGCTTGAAGGATTCGGTCGTCATCAAAATCATTCATTCGCTTCTCTTAATCGGTTCTGGTATTTTTGGACAGCTTTTCCTCATTCGTTTTTTATATCTCTACACCAGGCTTTAACTTATATATTACAATCGAGAAAAATATTCTGAAAATCACAAATATAATCCATAGCACTATGTTACGGATTCAATATGCATCGTAGTGACTGTCCACACTAATGAACATTTACCTATAAGTACACTCCATAATCTATACATGTATGGGGAGAGTCAGTTTACATTTATTAGAAATATCTTTACACATGTTTAAGAACATAAAATTCAATAATATGGTGGATATGAACATAAATGTAAATGGAATATTATTACATTGTTTAAATGACATTTTCCTTCTTCTTACTGTGTCGTCATTTTCAAATCTATAAAACCAAGACGATTGCAATGTAACCAATTTTGGTTATTTCTTTGCATTCAAAGTCAATATTGCTAATTCTTGATTATGAATTATATAGTTTCACAGACATTAATATAGTTTTCTAAACTAAATATACATCTGAACATTTCGAGTTATGGGCTTGCCTACGAATAAGCTACTTTGTTGTGCAAATGAGCTATTGTTCATAAAAGATAAGTAGGAGTATTATAGGCAAAGCTAAATACCTAAAATATATATTAGATATACTGAAAATATAACAAGGTCAAACTGCAATTTACTCGAAATACAATATTTTAAAAAGAAAAGAAAAAGACCTGATTTGATATATTTTTTTAAATTCATCTATGACATAATTATGCAGAAACTACCCATTGGTAGCACTCAGTAATATTTCTATATTCGAGAGTCCCAAAACCATTTTTTTTTTCATATACCTGGGAGGAATCGAAGAGATATAAGTTTAGAAACAAGAGTTTGATGGTCTTGAAATTTATAAAGGAAGAATAGATACCTGGATTGGGCTAAATAGGCAATTAATGGAATATCAATGCCATTAAAAATAATTTCATTTGACAAAGTAAGGAGGAATTGAAAATTATAAAGAAGGAATACAAGAGGAATTTTACGCCTTACCGTGTGTAAATTAGTGATGCCCAAAACCGGTGCAACACTAATTTACTAAGTGCAAAGTGCAAGACCAAGACCAGGACTCCCTGATTGATACAAGACCAAGAACAAGACTGATAAAAAATAATCGTTATTGTGAATAAAAATTAAGACAAAATAGTTACTAATACTTGACAATTTTCTTTACTATATGTATAGAATTGATATACATTTGTATTTAACACTTCCAATTTTTCATTTGGACCTACTTCGGTTTCCCTAAACTGAAAAACTACACTAATATCTCTGTAGTAGTAGGCTAATAGGTAACCGTAAGACTGTTGTAAGACTCTTGCGCAAGACCAAGACTCGTCTTGGTTCGCATTTGGACAATACTAGTCTTAATATGTCTTATTATAATCGGATTAGTGACTACTTACTGATAACCGAAGTTGGAGACAATAAAAATTACAAGTTTCTTTAAAAAAAAAAAAAATCCCGGTGTCTTTTAACACTGTCATTAATCCCCCGCCCTCACCCCTTGGCCTGGGAAACCTCCGTATAGTCTAAAAGGCGAGGTAGGAGAGAAAAAAAAATTAGGTTAGTGAGACTTTTACAATGAAATTGAAGGCTTGAGTGAGTGTAACCAGAAACGTCTCGAAATTTCTTGTAGTTTCAGTCTTGTATGAGAATACGAGATAATATTCTATTGAAAGATGCTAGATCAGTGAAGTCTTAGGTAGTGAAACTTTTCAACTGGGATAAATCTAGTATTATGAAAGATAATAGAGGAAGTCATACTTTTACAACCAAGGTTAAAGGTGGTAATAATTTTTAAAAAGCAATTAAAAAAATTTCTAGTTTACGTTTCAACATAACAACAGTATGTATTTTTGTTTCAGAAACTTTCATATTTCTCATGAAACTGTATTAAAAACATCGATATGGAATTATTCATAACATATTTCATCAATAACTGTCATCTTAAGGTAGAAAATAATATGAAGGCCAATTTTCTTAAAATATTCAAAGACGAAGTAGCTTAAGATAAAATAAATTTCAAGTATTAAAAAAGTATAAATAACTTTAAAAATGAAATGGAGGAACATGTTATACATCAACTAAATATTTTTGAACGAATTAAAACGGAACCTATTCACTGTTCATGTGAATAGGACAAGAGAAATAAAATATGGAAAGGAACATGGGGTATCACAATTTTTTTTGTGTCACTTATTTGGCAACGGGTGACGCATGTAGAAAATCAGTAACCAAGTAGACATCATATGGGAAGAAACAGAAAGATAAATAGATGTGAATCAGCATGAAATGAACAGATGGTCTGACGGAGTAAGAAAATAAGCTACACCTCGGCATAAGAAACTTAAGGACAGGATCTGGTGGCAAAAAATATGATGATGGGAGAATACCACTTCTAAACCAGGAGCAACTTTGGTTATTAATGTCTGAAATACTCCTTTCAGGTATTGCTTCTGGTATAAGAAAACAATATAATAATACTCATAATATCTATATATATTTTTTTTCTTTTTTTTTTTCGATTCCCGCTACAGACCATGAAGATCTTTGACCACGAGTGTGATCTCATAGACCACATCCCGATCCCCGAGTCATCATCAATCCTACACCCGGTCGTTGTGTATAAATAAAAAATCGACTGTATGTATTTATGTATGTTAATTGAAGCAAGCAATCTCTAATAGTCTATTTAATTAATAGACTTCCTAAAATGAATAAATTGAAATTTGAAGAGCTGAAGTGATAATAAATTAAATTTAAAAAAACAAGCCGGATTTAACGTATATATATATATATATATATATATATATATATATATATATATATATATATATATATATATATATATATATATATATATATAATCTATGCAGGAACTATCGGTTTGAGAGTTTGAAAAAACTTTCCTTGGGTGTTTTTGCTTTTTAGCAAAAATCTATTACAAAAACAAATAGTCCGTGGTACAGACCCCTTTTTATCGAATTATTAACATCCGCCTGAAACTTCGTAAATAGTTTCATCTCATCGTAACCTACAATTATTTTATTTACGAAAACTCATGGAATTTGGGCATTTTCAATCTGAAGGAAGGCACACTTTGTTTATTTAATTAGGTACTAAAAACTCGTAAATACACATTTGTTTTCTACCTGGGTCGTAAGATAATTTGATCACAAAATAGATAAAAAACGTGGCCTACAAAAATATTGTTTGTCCTATATAATTTGGGGGTGTAGTTCACTCCGAACGGCTCAATATTTTTAAAGGCCACCATTTTTCTCGATTTTGTGATCAAATTATCTTACTATCCAAGTAGAAAGCAAATGTGTATTTACGAGTTTTTAGTACCTAATTAAAAAGACAAAGTTTGCTCCCCTCCAGATTGAAAACGCACCAATTCCAAGAGTATTCGTAAATAAAATAGTTGTAGGTTATAATGAGATGAAATTATTTATGAAGTTTCAGGCGGATGTTAATAATTCCATAAAAATGGGTCAAGGACTAAAATAACTTAAAAAGTATTTTTTTTTTTTTTAATATTTGTTATAAATTTAGTTGATATAACCATTATACATGAGATAATGTAATCAGATCTTTTGTCAAAGCATTTTAAACAGATACTTAAAATTTTAATTCTTATGCGGCGATATTTCCAAATAACTATTTTTTCATTATTAACATAATGTTTTTAACCGAAGGATATATTTAAAATACATTTTTTTTTATTATAGTTTTCATCGATAATTAAGTCAACGTAACGGTTTTACTAGCGGATAGTAACGCCGTTAAAATTTAATTGGCGATTATTGGAGAAATTTAAGCACTAAACAAGATAATAATCATCTAAAATGGTTTTAATTGGTGCCTTGGAGAACCGTCCGAAAGATGTTGACTAGCAACAAGAAGTGGATGAGTGGGGACCGAAGTGGTGGGGAGACAGGTGGGCCGCAGTAGACGAAAGAATCCCTAGTGAAGAGTACGATGACTTCCAAGCTCAGGAGACCCCAACTCTTCGCCTACACCGCCGATGGTAGGAGGACCCTGGCATCGTATCCGCAATACGTCGGAGGAGTATGCAAGGTATGTCTTGAGTTCTTATGGTTGTAATATAGTAATACAATATTTAATAACATCTTGTAATAGAAACTTGAAGTGTAATAGATCATTATCAACCTTCAATGACAAGGTAAGAAGTCAAACAACATATCTTCCATTTATTGCAAAAAGTCCGTACAGTCATTATATCATAACCTTAAATCAGTAAGAAATTTGATATATCCATTGATGAAATTCGAACATTGTGTAAGTGTTGTAACTACATTTGATGGATATATGGGTTTGTCAGTTTTTTTTTTTTTTTTTAAAGGTTAATAAGGTCGAAATTCACAAAAACGTTCTTTAGAGTTCTGCTCTTTCGAAAATGTACATTGTGACTTATAAACTGTTAGATGTTTCAGAAATATAACATATTCATAGGAGACCAAATTCACAATACACTACGGAATTATTAATTATATTGAAGTCTTAAGCCAATTTGAAACTTTCTAAATTTCAATTATTCAATGTACAAATATCTTGAGAAATATAACACAATATACTAATAATGATTTTTGTTTTTCATATTCGGAATATTTAATAAAATATTAATAATCAAATTATTTTGGTTTTGAGAAATTGAAACCTCTAGTATTTTTTTTTGTTTTTTCAAAATCTGTAATAAGGTATAGTCCACGATAAAGATCTTTTTTTTTTTTTTTTATCAAATCATTAACATCCACATAAAACTTCATCTTATCGTAACCTATAATGTTTTTATCAACAAAAATTCTCAGAAATTTGGTGTTTTATTAATTTTATGACTTACTAAAATACTTATTAATATCTATCTGCTTTCCACTTGAATTGTAAGATAATTTGATCATGAAATCGATAAAAAAGGAATCCTAAATAAATATTGGGCCGTTTGACCAATATCACCTCGTTATTTTGATTGGATCGCGGCAGATCTCCAAATATTTTCGCAGGCCATTTTTTTTCTGAGATTTTGTGTCCAAGCCATGTTCGATTCAAGTGGAAAAAAGTTGGATGTTCATGAGTTTTTAGTGCTTCATTAAATAGAGAAAGCTTACCGATCTCCAGATTGAAAAAATACTATTTCCGATATCTTTGGAGTCACAAGACTCGACATAAAAAAATGATCAGTTTTGAGTAGTGATACTAAAATAACTTGGGTTTTGTGGTATCTTATACGATGTAAGATAATAGCCATTTCATCACTAAAACACAATTTTTTTTTAACTATTCATTGTTTATATATATATATATATATATATATATATATATATATATATATATATATATATATATATATATATATATCCATTATTATTATTTTTATGTTCTTTCTGAACAAAAATTATATTTATTCATTTAAATGCTAATAAGTTATTAGCAATAACTTAATTAGCAATTGTTATTATTAGTAATAACAATACTTCTTTACCTACTTTGTCAATAAAATACAGCAGTAAACATATATTTATAATTTTATTACTATTCCAAGGATCAACTTAATTAGTGATTGTTTAATGATAAAACACCTCTTCCTGGCAATTTTTCTTCTTTTAATAACTTTTTGAGGTCGATACCAGGAAAAATTACAATTAATTATAATTTAACTGTAAGACTTATTATAACTGAGTATTCGATGTAAGGAGGAAAGTTATTGGATATATTTTTTGAAGATATATAATTTAGTTTTATTATAAATATTCATAATTTAATGAGATATCTTATTTTTTACGAATAGTAAAAATAAATAATTGTAGGAAAACTAATTTACCAATGAATATTGTTTTATTATAGTTTCTTGTTTTATTTATTTTATTGAGAGCAGACAAATTTATTCTTACACAAATCCTTCTTCAGGTAGTAATGACCTTTGTAAAAAAAAATCTTAAAATAATCTAGGAGTTTGAACGTAGAACAAACTCGTTTTCACAAGTGTGTAGGAGGCGATGCTGATGTATTTTTTGTTTCTCAACTCAATGGTAAAATTAAATAAATATCATAAGATGTCCAAAAATGAAGCTGGTTCTATCTAAATTTTTGACTAAACTTTTTTTTCATGTGTATATATATTTATATATATATTATATATATATATATATATATATATTATATATATTATATTTAAAAGTCATACAATTTTTTAAATATTTATTGTCGTTTATTATTTCAATATATTTATATTTCAGATGAAATTCTTATGTCTGACTATTCATTGTTAAAAAAAAATGTGCTAAAAAAATGACAGTTTTTATAAATTATTGTTTGACCAATTAATCAATTTTATTTTGTTTGATTTCGAGTTTAAATTTTATTTTATATAAATACTAATACTTTGTTTGTAAACAATGTTAATTTATCTTTAGGTGCATTAAAAAAATGATGACGAAGTATTTCTAAGATACTTTTGTTTACAGTAATTTATTCTATTATGTATTTTAAACTCGTTATCGAAAAGGTCCACGTTATGTATTTCCTGATAGTTGAGTAATATTGAGTATAAAAAACGTTTTCAAACAGTAATCCGAACAAATTACAACGATGAAGTTCAGCCGTCCCATCATAAATTTAGAGAGAGAAAGAAAACTGTACAATTCCCTAAATTCGTCACATTTCAGGATGGATGGAAACAAAACTGCTTCATTAACTGTACGTGCGAACAAATCCATCGTTTATACCAATTCTGTAATGAGGCGATTGCTTCACGAAATTGGTCTTATTACAGCTCAGAAAATGTTTTACAAAATAAACTGAAACGAAAACAAAATTGGATGAGAATCCAGGAACTGATAAAATTATTTTAGATTTAAAGTTAATTTTATAATATATATATATATATATATATATATATATATTTTTATATATGGTGTCTTCAAGGAATATATAAACCCATATACTTTAAATATTTATTCCACTTCAAACGACGTTTCGAGCAGATTTGCTCATTCTCAAGTCATCAAAATTATTTATCTGAGAAAATATATTTCTATATTATAATTATATTGAACGTTTATTGAACGGTACACCAAATTAAAAATACAAATTCTCGTTTTTAGTACATTTACTAATGTTTGTCCATTTCTGAAACTCGGTACTACATCCTCCCTATATTGTTTAATATTAATGTGTATAATAACATTTTTTATTTTATTTATTCATGAGATTTACAACTGTATAAATTAAAAATACATCCAGTAAATGTGTACGAGGTAATAATACAATCACACGAAAACGCTTGTTGAGAAACTACCCATTGGTAACACTCTAATAATATATTTACATAAGTAGATCACGAGGCCATCTTCGTTTCAGACGCCTCGGAGGATTATCAGTTATCGAAGACGAAGCAAGGTTTGAAACGAGAGGGTTCAGATGGTTTTGAAGATTTTTATGGAATGATATGTATCTGGATTGGGCTAAATCGGAAACATATGGTGCGTTAAGATCTTTATGAATGGTTTTATTTGTGACAAAGTAAGGAGCATCGAGAATTTTACGAAGGATTTTGGATTGTAAGGATTGGATACGAGAGGAATTCGATGGTTTAGTGGAGTGCTATAGCTTAACTCCGTAAGTCCAGATTGGCCTTATAGTCATGTATATGGTTTTTTTTTTGTAATAAATATTGGAAGTTTAGAGCGTTTGTCTAGTAAGTGCTGGAGTAGTCGAAAAAGTCAAGCAGTTTCTTGTCGTTTCAGTCTTGTATGAGGATTCCAAGTGAGTCGTTTGTTCAGATGGAGTCCTAGGTATCGGGATAAGTGATTATTCAACAGGGATAAGTGGGGAATTGTTAAAGGATACTGTACGACAGGAAGTCATAGCTTTACGTCTTAATAACATTTAAATTTATAACAATATTATTTATTTATTTCGAAGCAGGCCGATGTACCATAAATTCTCTTTTTTCTTTTCTGTACATATTTTTTCATTTTTTCTCCCACCTCCCCTTTCTTTTCTTTGTCCATTAATAATACGTAAGATGCGGTAACTTTGAGACAGCGGGTAAAATTTATATTTTGGTGGATAAACTGTGTTGGCTCAGGCTACGACAAAACAAAAACGTGTTTTGTTTAGGCATTTACTCTGCTAATATCTTGCAGCACATTAATCTTGAGGGATAAGCGAAAGTTTCATGAAAACCAGTATTTTGAAAAACCAATGGAAATAAATAAAACCTAACTGCACAAGTGTGTAGTGAACTAGGTTTCTAAAACTATCGCAAGGTAATTGCGCACTACACGCCTATACAAAAAGCATGTTTTTGCAGACTAAACCGACACAGTGTACCCACCACGGAATCACCACAAACTAAAATTTACCAGCTGTCCCGAAGTTACCCACCCAGTCCCAAAGTTACACCAACTAACGGTAATATAAATACAAATATATTTTTTATTAATAAGAATTAAATATAATACGCAATAGATATGTATTTAAAATTTTATAGATATATGTTAAAGTAAGTTTGACAAAATATTAAATTAATTAAATTAAATTCTCATTGTATATGATAGCAAAAATCATGAAGATTCGGATTAAATTAATGCTCCTAATTCAGCATATTATTTAAAAATAATATTTATACCGGCCCAATATCAAAGTACAATGTGGATACCGCTATGGTACCTTTACATAATATTATACAATATAATAATATTTATATTACTAATATAATATATTGATATATTAATACTATTAATATTTGAATTGGATCATGGACCTGTTACGTGCTTCATTTGTAACATTTTGTTTTAAATTAATACTCCACTGAAATATTTACTACAGAGATTAATTCTTTTTGTTTTAATTCTCGACATTCTTTATTTTCTTATGGAAAAAACGTTAGGTAATATTTTTCTCGTGTGTCACGAGTCATTATATTATTGTATATCAATATTATATTATTATGACATTATTAATAATATAATTTCATTTTTGACTGATCACCCCAACTATCCTTCTCTTTATCATTCACTACAGTCAACCATCAACCCACAATTAATAATAAAAAA